ATCAAAGGTTGAGATTGTCATACGACAAATTCTCTAGGAAACTTCATTTTACGTCGTTCATCCTTCCCTTTTCTTCTTTTTGAGCAAATAAAGGTAAGGAAAACTTATAGTTTGATCTTTTTATGTTGTATATGTTGACTTTACTTTGTTGATTCATGCTTTGGAAAACAATTAAGTTGAAATTAAATGGTAGAACCTTCGTGTTCTTATTCTTGAGGTTTCTTGGTGAAGAAAGGAATAATTGATGATCCTAAATTGCATTTTTATTGCATGTCAAATTTCTTTCAATTTATGAATTGTATGATGCTAATAGATGGTGGATTCTAAGTTGCTTGCATGAATTGTTGTATTGGATGAGAGGATTTTAAGTTGTTAAGTTGTTTTCTTGATTTGTTGAGCTTGTTCTTGAATCATGTATGTTTTAGGTGTGCTTGATTTGAGTGAAATTATGTCACTTAAAGTAAGAACATACTCGCTTAAGTGAGCAAATCACTCTTCCCATGGGTTCTCTCCATCTAAGGTCGCTCAAAGCGAGTTGTGAGCACTTAGATTGAATTTTGCTTGCTTAGAGCACTTTCTTCATGGCTTGAAGCATCAATTTCACTTGAAAACTAGTAATCTTCCAAGTCATATTTTGTTATGATTGGTGATTACATGAAGACTACTAGTGATGAAATTCAACTCATAGTATATTAGTATATGGTGATGAATGATGAGGATTTATGTTGTTTTAAAGTTGATAGTAGCTTGATGTTTGAAGTTGTAAGATGTTGAGTTGTGAATGCATGAGGCATGTTGTTATGTTGACTTATGTGGATAAGATGCATGATGTTGAACTATGTTGCGAACTTAGGACTAGAGGAAATGTGTTATTTTGAAAGTTGGAATATCCTATTACATGGATATGTGTCATGGTGCTCTATGGGCCTAATTGTTGAAAAACCCTTTTTTAATATTGTTGTCTCATGAAGTAGAGTGTTGACTTTCTTCCAAGTCCCTAGTTGATATCATATTGGGGTCAGATCGAGCCATATTGGTTTTGAAGTGAGCAATTTGAGTAAGGTATGAAGTTGAGGGTTAAATCCTTAACTAATTACTAGAATTGTGCACAGTATTTGGAGGGTAGTCAGTGGGTTAATTTCATATAGGCTTATTTGATGCATATTAATGTCGTGGTAAACCTACACCTAATTGTTCTATTCCTAATAAAGGTGTTGGACTTTTCTAGTTTAAGTGGCAAAATCTGAGAAATCATGTTGTATTGTGAATTGATATCTAAATCTGTTGTTGATTTAGCAAGCCAAGAAGATTGTGTTGTTAAGTTGGTTCAGTATGGTCAAACCACTTAGATTGCTCATGTATGTTATAAGAGATCTCTTAGTTGAAATGCATGATAACACATAATGTTATAGTGTTGCTATGTTGGTGTGTTGTTTATATGTTGTGTTGATAAGTTGTGTTGTTCATAGGCTAAGTTACTAAGATGTTGAGTTGTATAATTATGTTGTAAGTTAAAAAGTTGTTAAGTTATTAACCTGTGTTGATATGTTAATTTATGTTGTTAAACTAGTGCTTGGGTTATTGTTGTGTTGCATTGATGAAGTTGTTGTATAATTATTTTATTGATTTTATACTATGTTATTTTCTTGATTAAAAACTTACCCTTGTTTTTCCTTGTAATTAGACTACGATGATCATATTATTTTGAGAGTAGGATAGAATTAGGTCAAAGGGAAAACGAGTTGTGGCACCATGTTGGAGACAGTTGTGTTTTGGGTGGTGTTGTTTTGAAGCAACATATGTATAGTTGTTGCTTGACCAACAACCTAAGACATTTATGTTTTACATTAAGATATATGCATATTTGTGTACAAGATTTGTTTATAATCCTACTGAGACATTTTATGTTTTTAGTTATTTATTTTCTTACATATATATTGTTACATGAATATCCAGGGATTGCTTGCATGATAAATTTAGGTTATATTATACTTTTTTGTTTTCTGCTCAATTACTCAGCTATAAGTGTAGAGACCTACTGAGTTGTTACATGTACTTGTCATAATAATATGATGTGAGTTGTGCATTAGGTCTTGTGAGACACGTATCATATGCATAAAAATGTTTTATGTGAAGGATATGTTGGGGAATACACTACAATAAAAAGTCCCCCTTGTGTGAGCTTGGGGATTCTTGACCTTATGGACAATTGAGTTTGGTAGTCCTAGTTCCACTTGTTTATGTGTATGGAGTTTAAGTTGGTTGACATTACTATTTCAAAACACCTTGGTGTATCTCCCCCTATTATAAAGTGTTTTGATGGATTGACACCGACATGTTCTCCTGGACTATTCTATGTTAACCTTTGGACCATGATAAAGTGTTTTACTAACATCACATGCATATAGTTTGATTAAGTTTGTGTTCATTGCATTTGTATGAATCATGAACATTTTAAACATCTTTGTGTTTCTTAGATTATTCCTTTAAGTTATAACTATTATTAACATCAATTGATTTGTTGTCTATATGTGTGTGTGCCTATGTTATAGATGTGTGTGGTAATATAGTTATATCTCACAATGGTAGTTAAAGTGATATATTTTTCACTCCCTTATTGTTTTGTTGTGCTTTTATGTATGTTATGCAAGTGAGAATCATCAAAATGATGATGGTAGTAAGGAGGCATGGTGTTTTGGCTACGTTTGAAATATGCTCTTTGATATCTTATCTTTTAATTGGTTTAGTTGTTTAGAAACTTTTGTTAGCCTTGTGTAAAACCTTTAATGGCTCTTATATAGTCACTTGACTTCATTGTGTTGGTTTTTGCAATATTATTCCCTTTTAGAAATTGTCTTGACTTATAAACAAATGTGGGTCTTCTATCCTTGGAGGTGAATTGGAAATTCTTTTCATTGGATACCTAAAGTATTGTCAAAATTTTTTGTTGCATTAACTTATGTATTCTTTTTAAAAAATTCTTTTATTATAAGTATTAGTTAGAAGGGTAGAGGCGGTCACACTTATATATAAAAATTGATTTTTTCCATTTGATTTTTTTCTTATTATGTTTGTCTATGTCATGATTGACTAATGTCCATTTATTGCATAACTTTTAGTATTTTTAAGGAAGAACTAAAAAAAATATCTTAAATATTGAACTTATAAGAAAAGACTTCCTATTTGAATTACAAATTAGTTTATATCATTTGAAAATCAATTGAATTAACAAATAACAATATAGAAAATATAAAAAATTTAATTTGAATTTAGCTACCATGGTAGATGAATGTTCACTTCATTGATTTGACTTCACTTTACTTAAGATTAAAGATACGGGTTAGAAGTTTCACCTTTGCACACTAGCCTTTTAAATAACGTGTAGTATGAGAAAGGTTTTTACTTTCTTAAAAATCTAAAGTTAGAAATGTTGATTTTCTATGTTTGATTTATCATATAAAAAATAGCATTCCCGAGAAACATAATTTTTCTGAAATAATTTGTATAAAAATTTATCATTAAATTATTCCTATTAGAATAAGTGAGGATCTAACATTTTTTATTTATAAAAAATATTTTATTATGATAAAAATATTATGTCATTTTAATTTGACTAATTAATGTAGTAAATTTTTTTAATTTATATAATATTTAAAATATTTCTAAAAATATTTATCATCAATCAAACAAGTTTATTCATTTATGAAAATTATGATTCTTAGATATGGGAAATAAAATTTCTTCTCCCAATCATCCCTTATTGTTTAAGGTTCAAACCTGCATATACATATATAAGCTTTGAAGTCCAACTTTTTGGATTGTTGGAATATTAGAAGAAGCCCCTTCCTACAAACCTTTCTAGAATATAGGGAAGTTCTTAGAGCTTTCCTCGCATGCTTGAGTGGGCTTTCCCCTTTCTATTAGAAAAATCGTTAAAATGTAGATTTTTTTTACTTAGGGTTGAATTGGAATTTCAAAAGAAAAACGTAGAGATTTAAATTTGAATTTGCTTAAGCACACTCTTCGTAAATTTGAATATAATAACTAATGTCATAACAATCTCAAATCATATAATAGTTTTTTCTTCTTAATACTTTTTTATTATTTATTAAAAATTATAAAGGTAATCGACTAAATGTAATAACAAAGGTCCAAGTATATCCACGTGAAATTAAACCTACTTGATTAAAACCAAAACGACAACATGGTATTGTGTCATTTTATCATCTCACTGAATTACTCTGTTGTCTCGGGGACCGTGGAAACGAGACAGAGACAGAGCAGTTCTAAGGTGATTTTCTCCTCCAACACACTTCCGTTTGTTGCTTCTTTCTGTTGTTCAATGTTGATAGTAACTAGAGAAACAAATAACAACGTTTGAAAGATTGAATTTTGTCTTCAACCCACAATAAAATTTTCATTTGGTTTGTTAACTTATCAATTTTTTTCTTACCTCTCTACCACACTCTAATTTCCTCATATGTGAAACAGTTCTATTTTTGTTTTATAAGTTCAATGTGACCAAATGCTGTTGTATTCATTTTTTATTTTCAATTCAATTGTTATGTGAGTGTGTCTGTGTTGATTCTTTATCTAAATGCTTGTGAGAGTTAATGTATATTTTGCCATCTTTTACTCAACTTTCGTTGGTTGTTTGCTCCTACAACTTGCAGGTTCAATCTTGGGAAATTGATGGGCCACCTTGTAAATTTTTTCCATGGAACTGTCTTCTTAAACAAATTGTGTTTCAGAGACTGCCCCAAGTTGTTTAAACGAAAAACATGTTCTTATACTGGAAAATTTGTCAAATTTAAGAAGTATAATGGCGCCCCACTGGCTTTGCAAGGTTTTTTTACTTGAGGAAGCTTTTTTTTCTTTTTAATCTTAGATTTGTTCTCTCTTTTCTGTATTATGTTACTGTGTTTTATTTGATGTTATTGTTGACAGGCAATGGGGAGTTAGCAAATCATGTTGCAAACTCGTTTAACCATGAGGTAATATACTTGCTATGTGCCTTTTGTGCCACTATCTTGTGATATTTCACCATTCTAAGATTTAGTTTCTTATAATAAGTGACTGTACTTGATTATGTTTTCTGGAATTTAATACAATAAATATACGTGTAGAGGAATGGTAGTATATTCTTTGCTCTGATAAGTGATAACTATGTAGGAGGGGAAAGAGGGAGAGAGGTTGAAAGTCAGAAAGTAAATGAATAAGTTATGGAGGCACTAGCTAATGGGCAATAATATGTCTTTTCTTTGGTGCTCTAATGATGGTTATTGGAGTTCTATGGATGATATGAAATAAATCGAACAGCTTTACTGTGTTTCAGACCAACTTTAGGTTTCTTTTTGTCTTCAGATGTATTTTTTCTCCCTCTTACCAAGTCTTCTACACATAAACACATGCTTGTCATAAGTTGCATTAAAATTATATTCAATTATGAAGGACAAGGGTGGCTATCCTGACCCTAGGACATAACCGCTTTGATACTATGTCATGCACTAAAAATTCCTCAAAGTTTAAGCCGTTATATTTATATCTAAAATGACCCCTTATGTGAAAGACCTTTCGAGTTTGGACAAGAAGCATGGACAAAGCACAGCCTATCACACCTTGTGTTGAAATTCACATTAATTATGAAGAGCAAGGGTTACAAGGAATGAATTCCTAATTCCTGATCACTTGATCAAAAAGGTTTTGATACCACGAAGACCAAATAATCTAAAAGTGCAAGTTGTTAGGCACATGCCCAAGATTGATTTTATATTCCTTAAAATCCTGCTTAGTGGTTATTGGCATTAATGTGGAACTAAATATCCTTTGATTGTTTGGAACTCAACTTCTTCCATTCTGTGTGGAACAAGTTTTGTAAATTTTTTTTCTAAACTCTGAAAATAAAAAATCACCGACATAAAACCATATAGCATAGCCAGTTGCAATATATGTAATGCAAAGATTGTTCATTGTAGGCTAAGCTTGGTTGTTTTATTTGGTTGTATATTTTGTTTTGGCTCTAAATTTTATGGTTTTACTGTTAGATTTACATTAGTAATGGAAGACAGTTGAATGGTATTCCTCATATACGAACTCTTAGAGAATTTCCTAGGGAAGAGCTTTTTGGAAAAGTTGTCATGGTCAGATTTGATTCTAACATATTGCTCAAGAA